CGTGTCCGCGTCGGGAAAATATCGGATACATACACCCATCTACCCACGCACAATGACGGATCAACAGCGTAATCAGCGCGAAGGAAATGCAGCATGCAGCTTCGCGCACTCACGGAAGGGGACCCCATCCCAAGGAGTAAAAGCAAACGTAAATGTACAGCATGGCGGCCATAGCCTTGCTTGCTGGTGGTGGTGGTAGGTTGTCCACTGGGTTCGGCGGCGGGAATTCCTTGAGAAGGGCCCCGATGATGAAGAAGAGGATGCCCATGCCCATGGCAGAGATGAAGAGCGAGAGCTTGCGTCCGAGCGAGTCGACCAGGAAGAATACGAAGAAGGCCGTCGATATGACCTTCATGATCCCGTAGATTCCGGACGCGAGCAAGGAGGTGGTGGGCCCCGTGTATCCGATCTACCATCGAAATCGAGTGAGATACCCAGAGATGGCCAGATGGGTACGCGTTACTCACCGACGAGAAGATCCGAGGGGCGTAATACCCAACGGAATTCTGACCACTCCATTGCTGAAGAATGAAAATCACGATAGCGATGACGAACCGGATCCAGTTCCCCTTCCCCAAGAACGCCTCCTTCACACCCAATCCCTGTCTTGCATCTTGCTCCTCTGCGATCGCGGCTTCGATCTCAGCCATCTCTGCGCGCACCGAATGGTCGTCAACAGGTAGACGACGAAGGTACGCGAGGTTGGTGACGGCCTCGTCGATACGCCCTTTCGACGCGAGCCAACGGGGTGATTCTTTCACAGTGAGAAGGCCGAATGCCATCAAGCCGGCAGGGACAAGCTGGAAGCCGAAGGGTATCCGCCAGACGCCAAAACCGGTCTTGACGTGCTCACTGACTCCCACTAACGAGTCATCAAGGACGGACCGTACGTTAGCTTCAACACCCTTTTAAACATAAAATGCTTGGAGGGGGGCGTACGATTTATGAAGTACGAGAGCATGACACCGACGGCGACCATGATCTGGAACATGCCCGTGATCCGTCCACGCACGTCCTTTGGTGAGCACTCTGATACGAACGCTGGAGCGACGGCCGATATCGCCCCTATTCCTATCCCAGCAATTACACGCCCGGCATAGATGTATCCCAGACCGCGTGAGCCCCCGGCCACAGTTTGCAGAACCTATCATAAGTAGCGAAGGCCAAACGTAAACGCGCAGGCGGTCAACAGCTAGGCACGACGGGTGGAGTGAAGCGGTGACCACTTACGGCACCGACTGAGAAAACCAGGGTCCAGATGAAAAGCGACCACTTCCTACCGATTGCGGCTGTATAGGACAAACGAAGCCCCTATCAGTCTCTCTTCTCGTGCGAACCGTTACGTTCAAAGTTTGAGTATGCAATCGCGCTGGTGCAGCCAGGATAGACTGGATGAGGTAAGCTGTAGGAAGCAGGCGCGTGCGGTGTCCACATGACCGCCTCCCCGCAGTGGATCAAACTCACGACGGCAGGACGCCGAACGAGCCCGCGCGGTGCGCTAGGGCCCATCCACACTAACAGCTGAAACTCGAAACACAACACATACCTGACAGCGGCGCGCTGCCGAGCGCACCAAAGAATGCGCCGGCTTGGAGAACGGAGACAACATTTGAGCTGATGTTGTCAGACTTCTTCGTGTCCGTGTGCCCCGATGCGTCGGTGATGCCGAAATGAATCTGGAAGTACTCTTGCGAGACCACTCCTCCACCGACACCGCTGCGTGCAGTGAGTGAGCCTCGCCGGACACAGGGGAGACACTAGGTGGGCCATGTGAGGTGTACTCACGTATCATATCCGAACAACACGATACCCCAGTACGCGATGAACGCGAGCCCTGAACAGCACGAGTCTGTCAGCGAGACAGCTAAGATGAGATAGAGGCAGACGTACAGTAGACCCGGATATTCTGGAAGACACTCTGCTTGCTCATCGTGAAGAGGCAGCACGATGGTCGAGTGCAGAGAGACTGTGGACGTAGCCTGAGAGGAGGAGCGGGGCAATTCCAACACGCGAACCTTAATCCACCTCTCCGGTTTATGTACCGCGGCGGCACGCGCACCCGAGTTTCATGGGCGGTTGGATCAAGATTACGGGGAATCTGTCCCTACGCAGAATGCAATGAAGGGGAGCCCATGGGAACGTCCCCGGCCCGCGGGCCTCATCTGGAGGACGATCAGGAAGTGTGTCTGTGCCTCTGGAAGTGTGCAAGTGACCAGATGACTGACCTTCGCGAACTATAGTCCCGCATGCTCCCGCAGATTAAATTAGACGCTTGCCCGCCGTGTGCCGTGACAACGAGATGTAAGGCTCTCTTCACTCCTCTCACCACTGCACAACGCCGACTCGTTATGACAAATGTCTGCCCTGCGGCCCGCGGGTCTGTTCTGTGGGACCGGTGTCGCTAGATAGCCGAAGAGATGTATGGGAGGCTTGAAATGAGTGGCACTGTGGGGAACGTGAATTTGATCCGGAGATCGGAGTAGCAGAATACAACTCCGTACCGTGACATGCACTGTAGTCAGACAGATGTGCCACTGTCTGCGTTCCGTCAGGGTCATTCGTATGAATGGAACCGCTATACGATCCGAAAGGTGCACAGGTCGCTGACACGACAGAGCTATGGATTCCATGAAACCAAGCGACTAACGAGGACCCTAGACGGTCCGGGTAGTAGATCGGACCCATCGCAGGGGGCGCCGGGCATTGCGAGCCTCACGTAGTCTCCTCAGCAGAAGTACGTGAAGACGAACATGGCAAGTCGGTCGTGCGATGCAGAGACGAGTAGTCAGCTTCAGGAAGACACGAGCTCAGAAATAGGACTCACCTACGGCACCCAAGTCCCATCGCAACAATCGGTAGGGGTGTATCCTGGGTGTATCAGCTGTCGCGGCTGAGACGGGTACAAAATGAATCGAATTGATACAGAGCAAAGAGTTAACTGGTACATATATGCGAGCGCCGGGGCAACAAGATAGGTGCCTAGATATTCGTGAGGAGTCGTTACTATATGAACACAGTCCGTGCCAGCTTCAGGGCAGCACCTCACCTCACCTCCTCACCTCCTCAGCCTGAACCAGTCCGGAATCGCCCTCCACAACCTCTCGCGCTCCTTCGCAGCCCACGCCTCGAGCGCATACGCACACGCCGCGCAATCCGAGAACTCGGCGCTCTTCAGCTGCCCGAGCTCCTCGGCCACATACAGCGGGTCCGCACAGCCCCGTTCCCTGTCAAACAGGTAGTGCTGCGTCGCGAGGTCGACGAGCTCGCTCAAGTCCTTCTTGCACGCGGCTGGAGTCGAGCACGCTGGTCGACTGTTGCTCCGCCCAGCTACCCCTCGCCCTCCCCGCCTGCGCCCATCCCAACGATGCCGAACCCGCCCACTCCGCCGTTCATCGCATGCAAGCCCGATCGTGAGCGGCGGTGAGACTGCTCGAACGAGGCGTGCTCCATGTTCTGTATGAGCGCGGTCACAGCGTGCTGTGCAGCTTCCTTCCCGAGTGCCAGCCGCTGCATGTCTGCCGGGGAGAGCGTGTGCGAAAGCGAGATGGCGGACGATGACGGGATGAGGGGGTCGAGGGGGTCTCCTGGGGAAGGCTCAAAGATCTGCGTGAAGGTATATCGCGAGAGCTCGTAGAACGCGGCGGGAAGAAGCTCGTCCGCGCCTATTTCGCGAGCGAGATTGATTATGGCCTGCACAATGCGATAAGCATACCTAGTGCATATATCTCTGAGGGCACTCACGATAGGATGTGGATATCGATGCCCTCTCGGTTTGCCCGTCTCGACCTCGTGCGTGCGTGCAAGGTCCTCGCGAGCGTCCCATCCCTTCAGTGTAGACGGCCATGCAGCACGGATGTGCGCGAGTGCCTTGGTACGGATAGACTCTTCGATAACATACTTGCTCGTGAGTCGGACGACGCCGGAGACAGCTACGAAGTCCTCTCGATCGTTATTGCCAAAATTTCTGGTGAATCAAGGCATGTCAGCATGATGGTAGACCTTCTACCCGGACGTTAAGCAGAGGGCGCCATTGGAGAGAAGGAAGATACAACGGAACACAGACCGGGTAGGTCTGACGATCTGGTGGATTTCGCAAAAGTGTCTCTGGATCCGTCAAGGTATCGATGACTACTTGTCATACTCAGTTCATTCAAGGATTAGAGCGTGTGGGGAACATCTGTCGAGGACACCGCTAGGTACATGCGCATGTACGCATGTGTAATATCCTAACTCTGTCAGCCAATACTATCCTACCTCCCGACACATCAATGCGCAAATCGATGGTGTATTGCTGAGGATCAAGACACAACAGCGTATCCCCAGAACAAAGGCCGAGTGCTGCACGCTCCCGTCCATCTACGTTGAGTCTCTTGAACAGGTGCGGGCCCAGCAATGCAATACCTCTGAGCTCCCATTGCTACCACACGAACGTTCACGTTTCACTTCCCGGTCACTTAAGATGCACGCGCTCCGCCACAATGGTACCTCCACATCGCACTCGACCACTTAATCGGAGATGGGGAAGGAGGATGATGAATGCACACGTACGGACCGTCATATATCACTTTGACCATGTTCGCGACATCTTCGGGCGGGTCATGCAATTCCAGAACCGGACATCCCTCGAGTTTGGTCTCCTCGCGATCGGCCGATGGTGGCTGCGGCAGCGAAAAGAGGTCTCGGAAAAAGGCAGATTTGCGGCAGAGCTGGGAGATATGAACGCGGAAGAGTGTGGACTGCGCGCGCAGGATCAGGGAGCCGTCGGCGAACCAGAACTCGGGGTTTTTGGCAAGACGACCTTGCTCGAGCTGGGTCTCCAACGAGTCGGACGGTGAAGACAACATGCAGAGAGTGTTTCAAGGAATAGAGAACGTTGACATTGGTCAAGACGAGCCCCAAATACAACGAGTGCGTAGGCGTCCGTGAAACCCAGAGAAGTAGACAAGACAAGGATTATGTCACGCGGTATATATATAACATGTTAAAGCACATGGTATATCTCTCTGTTAGTATATCGGTTAGTACACGCGCCTGTCAATAGTTACTGTGGCCGCGCGAAAGCGGGGTTCGACTCCCCGACAGAGAGTTAGTTTTTACATCATCTCCTTGGATCTCAATGTTAGCCTGATTATTCATATAACTTATAAGGTCAGATGTTGAGATGGGGAGCATTGCTGTTGGCTGAAACTTGCTACTATGAGACGATGAAGACCACCCGTGATTATTGGCCAGTGTGTGTCTGGAGTCCGGTGGTGTACTATCCGAAAGAGGCAGGGGAGGTGAATCGGACGGATTCCAAGCGAACGCATCCAATCGTCAGTGCTGCGTCATACTACGTCCGTCTGTCGGTCCGCATATATAAGCTACACACGGACCAAGGACGTCCTCAACGCACTTCCACACCACCCACCACCATCCACTCACAAGTATCACGCATACCCTACACACATCATGTCCCTCCCAACTCGCCAGATGGGCGGCCACAAGGTACGACGTGTGCGGTAGCTCCGACGCATGTACCCATCAGCACTTACATGTCTCTTTAGGCGGCCATCAACAACCCGCGGGTCTCCGAAGAGGCGAAAGAGCGCTCTCGCCAGGCCATCGACGAACTCGAGGCCGACCCCGCGACTCGCGAGACCCGTGAGGGGTACGAGGCCGAGGACCAGAAGGACTCTGTCCGCCAGAACGCCGGCTATAAGGCTACGCTCAAGAGTGAGTAACTTGCTAGCACTCGACGTCGATACCTTGCTCATAGCAACGTGAACCGTAGACCCGAACGTGAGCGAGGAGGCAAGGAACAATGCGCGGGAGATCCTTGAAGATCGCGACGCGCTCTGAGGAGATGGGTCAATTGACTTCTGTACGATAGATAGAGGCGTATACCATGGTTCCAGTCACGCAGAGATTGCACTCCAAACTAGTGGACCCTTCCAAGCATGGCACAACTCACGAGGCGACTGCTCTTTGACGAAAATCATCTACGCGGCATTCGTGCGATCTTCCTCAAGAGATCTCGCTCTTCTCCAAAGCACCACTCCAGCACTCCAGAACGTCGACACTTGCACATTTTGTCGCGTTGAACATCGATCTTACCTCCACTTAAAATTCAGCGAAGACGGCTTGTGACGCGACTTGCAAGTTGAATGACAGTTGTTCAACGACATGTACCTTCATGGTCGCCAGTATGAGTCATCGTACACTGTTAGTGTGCGAGGCAGAATACTGCCATTTTGCCATTTGGCATGTGCCAGCGGCAATTGCCATTCTGCCGGCGAAGGTAGCGGGCAAAATATGGCAGATAAACCTAAGCGCCGGCGAGCATACAAACAATCCTCGTCATATGCTGACCCGTAGAGCTGATGAAAGTATAAAAACAAGTTTTCAACAGCTCTCAAAGCGCGATAAGAGAGGATCGGGGCGATTTGGAAGGTTTTGAGACCAGTCTAAGATAGACGCCGGACGGGGTGATTGGGTCCACCTGCTCAAAGGCTAATTAGTCGACATTGTCTTGCATTCACTCTCATCAGTCTGTAAAAGTCACACTGGTTCACCTCGGAAGTTTCGCGATTAGAATGGAGAGCAAGAATTCTGCAGAAATTGTGGTACCGACTCGCGCGGGCGCCAAATATCTGCCAGATTTTGCCGCCTTTGGCAATTGCCGTTGTGCCATATCTGCCGGCAGAATCGCCCAAAACAATTCTGCCCTGTACACTATACACTGTTCAATGATCTGTCATATATACGACAGCGACGCGGAACAAGTCGCGGGTATCATCATTGTGCTCCTCAATCAGAGTTACGCTCAGAGCATCAGCACTTTCAGCGAAAACACAGAGGTGTGCGACACCGCTGCTCACGACACCGCCCGCACCGAAGGAACGCTTGAGTGCAGACGCAGCATTTGGGGTGTCTGAGGCGGGCACAGTGTGTTACTTGCGGAGGAGGCGTCAGCGATAGTCGCGGTCGCGGTGTTGCTCGAAGAGGAGACTTCCGTGTCAGCTGCGGCCGCTGTGTTGCTCGCAGAGAGAGGAGTAGCGGACACGGTCAAGGTTGGCGTGGGAGGAGTAGCGGTTACGGTCAAGGTTGGCGCGGCGCTCTTACTCGCTGTCGCAGTAATACTATTAGCAGGCAGTCTCGAGGGAGAAGAATGAAAGTGGTACTCTATCATGGAGGCAGGAAGGGAGGGAAGGGAATGGCACAGAGGTTTACCTCAACCCGTGTAACGTCTCTGCGTCCTTGACGTCTTCGTCAGAGCATGCAGCATAACTCGGACTCCTGCAGGCAGCTGAGCGCCTGACTCTGAAATTCCTCATCGCAGTCGCCAAGCGCCAGACGAAAACCGCACGTCAGCACTTCGCTCTACTCGCTAATGGATAGAGGACGTACTTGTCATTGCGGCTGGAGCGAGCAAGCCCCGCAGAACCCGTGATGCACTTGAAAAAGCAAAATGAGAGCGAGCGAACAATCTCGGTGGGGGCTGCGGCATTGGTCGTGGATTGGGCGTGCACGCTCACGAGCGTAGAGGCGACGGCAGCGGGGATGAGAGAGAAGGACGTGAACATCATCCGTGAGGGTGTCCTTGGTAATGGTATGTTTCGTCGCTGGTATCACGTGTGCCTATTTGGGTGAGGTTTGATGGAGAAGCCCAACGAGAAGATGAACGTTCACCGTTTGCGGTTCGAGTCCTAGGCAAGAGAAAGGCTCCGAAGAAGGGACAAACATGGGGCCTGGGGCGTTACAGACTCGGATAGGCGATCATGGACTCGGGGGATACAGGCATGGCACGGTTGTTGCAGGTCTGGCCGCTGGGGGTCATATTGTATTGTAGTATCAGCCGCTGATTGTACTTCAGGCCAATAGAAATGTCCCGACAGGTCCCGCCGCGGTGCCTTCAATACCTTGTAGCATATGCGAGTTGAGTGCAGGGATCGACCTTTCTTCTCACCAAGTCTAGATCGGGCATCGTAGGCGCCCGCCCCTGCGGCAATAAGCGGCCCGGGCCGTGGTGATCAATGTTCTTACTACCAATACTAGTATTAGGCGACTATTCGCAACTTACTCCCGCCACCGTGACACTGACAAGCTCACATTCTATGGTGTCTCAGAACTCGTCTCGAGGCCATCGATACTTAGTACTTGAATCTAATCATGGACAATGATACACTGCCAGCATATCAGGCCCCGCCTCTCAGCCCCGTCTGCTGTCCTTGAGCGTCAGCGCGCCCAGAAGCTACTTTATGGCCGTACAACGCTGCCGGGAAAGCCGATCCTTCATGGGTCCCATTTTGCGTGTATCTAGTGGTTCAAGCTCTAGTGCTCTGGCCTCATTCCATCCTTCCGCTCAGCTCTCATCGCGCCATTAGCACCTAGTTTCGCCCGATCTCATTGCAACCGGTCGCGAGTGAGGCTCACGACAGATCGACAACAACGCGTACATGCTTAACGATTGACCTGAGACTACGGTCGTCTCAGCGGTCTATGCGGACATGCGCGGGCTCTCGCGACGGAGATCTCGAGACCATGTTTATGGGACGGTGGAGTTGAAAGCTATTGGGATCAGATTCAGACTCTAGGTCCCTGATACGATCACCGACGAACAGTATCGCAAGTTGAGTCCCGTGCATTGCGTCCCAGATGCGGATGCCACGAAATTTGGAGCCAGATGCGAGGCGCTGGCCGTCAGGAGAGAACTGAAGCCGTTCTATGGCCTCTGAATGCGCCCCCCAGTCGAGGACAGGAGACAACTCGTGAGCCACCATGCTACAAAGGATGATGGTTCCATCGTGCGATCCACTTGCAATCCGCAGGCCATCAGGAACTGCAGCAAGGGCAGTCACGGACGAGTGGTGACCATACCACTGTGCTAGTTGCCTTTTCACATCAACTAGTATGGAGTAGCATCAATTGGTGTACCATGATCTAGAATGAAAATTCTTTCCCCCACCTCCAAAATAATTGAGGTTGAGCATGTTCTTGGCATGTAGGACAGGGAAGAGAGTTGGCATAGTGTTATCCCAGAAAACCCATCGCGCGCACTGGTCGGGATATTTGAACCGTATTTGATGAGGTGAGCACCGCAGTAATGACTCCTCGAGCTTTGTGCATGCTTCTGTGATTGCTTCGTCGGGGATGAATATCCACCTGAATGTGATGGTGTACTCTCGTCTCATTGATCCGACGGGATGTGCGATGTGGTCAAGGATTGCGGATGCTTGTTTGACTCTCCTGCCATTTCTGACGCTGTCATTAGCGAATCCATTGACCAACAGCTCCAGAGAACGCAAGCTGTCAAACGGTCTGGATAGGATGTCGAGCGTTGCATCTATAATGCGAAATACATTCCAGTATGAACTCATATGTCATTGGATGACATCCAAAACCTGTTGACAAACCATCGGTGCGCATAACGTGGATGGCGAAAGTCTGCAGAGAAGATTGAGCTATCCTCAGAATAGTGTTGATTACATCATGATGTACTGTGTCTGGAAGCTAAGCAACCAACTTGTCAATCACAACTCTGTTGTACAAACACAACATCAACGCACTCACGGACAGCGAGCGTATATGTACACGACCAGCGACTCGACTTACCCATGCATCCGGGATTATCTGCGACGAGTCCACCGCGATAGCCCCCAGCCAAAGGGACCTCAGGGCGGGGAACGACAGAAGGGATATTGCGCAGTCCATGGAAGTTGGGAAGGAGACAGTGGTTAGATGTAGCGCTTGAATTGTAGTCGAATGTCTTCGGAGGCATGCAAGAGCCAACCTGTGACACGGGAGTGCAGAATAACGGCTTTTCTTGTCTCTGTCCGTGCCTACTACAGCACCTTCTTGAGCCCCATGGTCCGCCGTGTTCTCTGTAACCTTCACGGGCTTCTCGATGGGAACCCCAAGGAGATTCCAGTGTGTCAAATTCGGAAGCAAAGTAAGAAGGGGGATCGGGATGGTATCCATGAGGTAAAGAGACTCGGGTCGACCGCGCTCAGGCTCGAGGGTGACCGAGCGCACGAGGGGCCGAAGATGAGGATACTGAATGATGGCTGAGCAAAGGGTGAGCAGCTGCTTTCTTGTTCTGACCCG